TTATTCATATATGACAGTCTTCATCTCACAAGCAACCCCATTTATCTACTCTTTTTTTTTTTTGATAAATATTTTTTTTATCCTTCTTTGCACAAATTAAGCACCAGAAATTAAATTCACTCGGATCAAAAGATAATAAACAATATATATTAAAATGAAATAAAACCATTTATTAGTAAATGCATTTCAAATATACATTCACAAGTCGAATACGTCAAGGTGTATCCAGGTTTTTCAGTTGAAAATGAACAGCTGGCAGGACGCGTTGGGGCTCGAATTGATTCGAAATTATTAAACATCGCCATCAAAATATCGAATCAGAAACTTTAAATAAGCATGTGGGTTGTTGAGCATGTTTAGATAATTATGGTTAAAATTGTATCGAATAGGGTGTGATTTATCGTAAATATAAAAATGACATTTTGAACAAAACGCAGCTGTATTCTTTCTAATCGGTAAAATACAAAAAGAATCTAATTTGTAATGACACGTCGAGATAATTCTAAATGTCTTCTAGTGATTCTATAAAAAATGAAAGAAAACCATACTCAGAGGATTTATGTTAATACAACCTGTGACGTCATGTTACATCAGACAAGTAATTAGCACTACAAACCTCTTCTTAGGCATAGCACACTATAAAGTGGGTAAACTTTATACGTTCTTATACGGAGGACAATGTTTGTCTGAGCACAAAGGCACGGAAATATACAACGTGCGCAATCAAGGAGGCGTGACGTCATGAATTACTAGTATATCACATAAGGAGTGTACCATTTTTACTTCCAGGGAAGGTCGCTTGGTTAGAATTTTCTGTAAATAATTTTTCGACCAGTTTTTAATTTGTGTTAATTGTTATAGTAGCTGTGAAGCATTTATCCGCGATGTGATTTCCATGCAATGTACTTGTTTACACGAAAGTCACGGTCAGAGCGTTGGGTCAGACTGTCAGAGCGTCGGGTCATACCGTCAGAGCGTTGGGTCATACCGTCAGAGCGTTGGGTCATACCGTCAGAGCGTTGGGTCAGACCGTCAGAGCTTTGGGTCAGACCGTCAGAGCGTTGGGTCAGACCGACACGGTCAGAGCGTTTGATCAGACCGTCAAAGCGCTGGGTCAGACCGTCAGAGCGTTGGGTCAGACCGTCAAAGCGTTTGGCCAGACCGTCAAAGCGTTTGACCAGACCGTCAAAACGTTTCGTGCATAGATTTAACACTAAAAGCGTAAATCTTATACATACTAACTACTAGAAAGTATTGAAATGTGGTAGAATGAAAATACCCCATAAAATACCCCAAAATTACGGCACGCTGTAATTTATGGCGCTACGGTGACAAATGTATAATAATACATGATACTTTATGATCGAATATCGGCTTTCGGAAATTGAATATCATTCGAAAAATGAATACCACTGGTGTTGTACGAATACATGTTTGTAGCGTGTAGTTTAATAGGAGAAAGCTAGTGGACCTTATGTTGTGCTAATTCTTATTAGAGCGCGGTTTATCAAGCACTAAAATTTCCACTGCAGATATGAAAATGAGCAGAACCTATAATCCCGTTTGTTTATTTGTGTGTCAGATGCGGCGGCACGACATTTTGCGTGGAGGGGCGAGATCTGCTCAAGACGACCTTAGACGCGACCTTACCAGGGGGTATCGGGCATGCTTAAAAGTTTAGAAATCTATACCCTCTGAAACGCTATTTCTTGCATTTTGAGGGGCAAATTCTGCTCACACAAAGATTTTTTTTCGAGGGGCGACCGCTCCCTCTGGCCCCCTGTGCCGCCGCAACTGTGTGTTTATGTATATATTCCACGGGCTGCTACACTTATTACTTAGCGATGCATATCTTTGAAAATCATGAAATACAACATTTTTTTTTTGTGAATCTAAATTTGAGAATGTTATAATGCGACATGCAAAATAGTATCCTATTTAATTGAGAGGCAATTATACAAACCACAGAACAGGATTCCCGATACCGTTATCTTTGAAAAGGACATATATTTTTTACATCGATGTTAAAATACTTCCCTAGCGGTCATATGATGCACCACTTCATATAGAAAAACAAAAAAAAAAAAAAAAAAAAAAAAAAAAAAACCCGTCTGTCAAATTATTTCTCTGAGTGTCGTATGTGTCTTACTTACGTAGATTATTGACTTCATTTATTCTTTTTGTTTTCGGTATTCTGTTTCCTATGCTAGTCACGTCAGCATATATTAATGGTTTAAATGCTCACGTGAACTTCCTCATGATGCTAGGCGAGCACGCATCGCACCCTTTATTTATACTTTCACAGAAATCTTACCTAGAAAAAAATACTGAGGTTCCCCGAATATATTGTCAGTCCAGTCCCAATAATATTGCGTATTTGGCAGTCTGTATTGCTTCCCATAAAATTAAAATTATTTGTCTGGTAATATCATTGTTCGTTCGAAGTAGCTATCATTAATTGCCGTACTATGACTAAACCTGTAACACAAGATTTCAATTACGTTCATTTTACGGGCTGATTTTATTCTAGACAGATTGCATGGCATTTAATGCGGAAATACACAAAGACAGTACTTGTTTCAATGACTGCCGGCAACCATTTTAACACGCTATAACATTTAGAACAACGCCTTTTAATATCCCCCCCTTCTGGTGGGTAATCCGGAAATACTAACAACTTTTTGTGAGAAGGAAGTGAGTATCTTTGGATTTTGTTTAATGGAATTTATTTAAAAAACAAACGTTTTCTGTAAGGATACTTTCGTTTGATAAGTATTTTGAGAACGTCATATTTTGTGGAAAGCAACCGAAGCGGCTTTATGGCGCACGTCATTACGGGTTTGTCCGGGAGAAGGGTACTGTATAACGTCAATGATTATCTCAGACAATCTCGTTCCGTTTACATGGAAGTAGGTTGATCTTGTATATGGATGTCGATCATGGGCTATATGTTTTGCAGTCCATAAAGAGCAAGTTGATAAAATCCAGAAAAAACACACAAAAATACTGATTACACGACAAAAGCTCTACTCAAAAACTTCGACATATTTTTTACCAAATTACCAACGACACGAACTACTATTTAACCCCCCCTTTTTTTGCGAACAACGACAAAATATAGAACGCTTTTTTACAGTGTGACAAAACAGCTAGGATCCGAGGCATGGTTCTAAGCATTGACCGAAAATGGATGGCCTGGGAAAGCCGGTGAAATTGGTCCAATTATAGCGACGGAATTGACTTGAATTAGCCACCCAACTATCGCGTAAGATCTTAGATGATGCCATTAAAATATCTAGAAATATCATTACACTCATTTGGGAACCTGTTCGAGACCTAGAAATATTTTTGAAGACCTGACCCCTAAACATAATGATAAAAGTAGGTAAAATTATTCTGATCCGATTTGAGTGGAATAACTGTCGTAAAATATCAGATTGGTTCACGGGAATTAAAAGTCTTCATTTACCCCCTTCGCTTATTCAAAAACCCTAGATTTATTTAATTTCAATCCACATGACTCGTAAGATCAAGTAATGGCCGTCTTCCGTTGATGTGTTGTAAGAAAGCGAAACCTACATGGAAATGGCCTATTATATATGGAGTCATCCCAGTATCACGTAAAATATCGCGTAAAGTCAGTGGGAAGTAATTATCGACAAAATACTGAGTTCACAGGTGGGAGTCCGATTCTTCATACTTCCCTGTGTCGCATATAAAGTAAAGAGTTAGACGAGCAGCCAGCGCCGCATTCGTCAGTCGTCGACTTTCAGCAGTGGGCTATGGAAATGTACATAAGAAATGTATCAAACAAAATAGTATGTACCACGCATAGAGAACATAGCATGTTACATAATAGATTACTGAAGCCAATGTAACCGTGTGCAAGATTTCATGTATATGTAACTTATTAAAGGATGTGGTGTCATAACCGCGCATGTGCACGAGTGATGAGTCTCACCCGACTCGTAAATTTACATAGCCACCAATTTTATATGGCTGCTAAAATACAAGCAAGATAAATAAAAAATAGCCAAAGTTTATTTATGTTCGAGCGTGTTTGAACGCCTGTGTACCAGAGCAGTATACCATACGAGATCGTGGCCAATACTTGTCACAATAGCGAGGCTGAGTGAACTACGTAAGCGCGCGTGGTAGAAACCAAGAACCAATCAGAGAACAGAATATCCGCATGCGCAGTTATGCAAAAATAAAATGTCAGCAATCTTAATCGTTATATCACCGGCCATTATTTTACTTTAAAATTCACAAATAGAAAACAAATAGCAGCTAATTTGCATAATTCTAGCGGACTGTGCAATATTTGGTTATTGTTAAAAAAATTGCCAAGACAGTGACGAATTAAGAGACACATTGAAGAACTTCACACTTACGTTCATAATTAAAGTTATGGGCATAGTTTAATTTCCAAATTGTAGCGTTATTCCATTTTATCTGTATGCTATTGAAATCCAATACATGCAATACTGAAAAAAAAAATGTGAAAAAAATGTGAAAATCCATATGGTTCACCCAACCGGCAAGGATATGAATTTGATCCTGTATTATCAATATAAAAATAAAACGTTGCTCAATTTGACATGTCAGAAACAGTTTTTACATTTTTTTGCTGGTTATCAAATTGAAAATGGCCAACAATAGCAATAAATAGCATATAATTATAATTTCTTACCCGATTCGATTAATTGTATCAAGTTTCTTCTTTTAGCGCCAACACGGCTAAAATTAGAAGAGAGTGAAGAATTATATCGATTTAGTTTCGGTAGCTAACGATTTCCCGTTCCTACATAAAAATGAATTGTTATTAAACATTTATTCGTCCCACAAGACGTTTCACTGAATGCTATCGACACATTTCCTCTTGTCGATAGCCGGATATTGGTCACAGAAAGGACCGCCCTGCTCATGCGCAGTTGACGCATCTGTTGCTACTACTTGAGGCGGAGTTGTTCGCTCACTCTTTCATTTGATCGGAGTGTCTGCAAGTATCATTTCTCACTCGAGCGCTGCTAAGATTCTTTCTACACAATGAAGCTCTACTTGTTACCATTGGTGTTCATGATTCTACTGCTGTTTGTACTAAGAGACCTGGTTAACGCAGACGACGAAGCTGTCTTTGGAGTAAGTATATTGTCACTTTTTCCCGCCTAAAACAGGTAAACTTTTCAAAAATACAGGAAGAAATTTGTTTACTACGGAGATGGTAGAATGAACATTTAGTTTGAATTTGTTGTTGTTTTCTTCTTTAAAGTTTTACATTAAGTAAGCGAGTTTATTCTTCCGCACAACCCGTATATCCACGTGCATTTTAGCAAGGTAAATTTTTCGCATTATTTGTAACCAGAATAATTGTAGCCTATGCTTTTTTTTTGGTGGGGGGGGGGTCACAGTGTGAGATGGTAAAATATCGCATTTCATCGTTGGTGAAGCTGGCAGTACACTGTGCAAAAAACGCCGAACGTCAAAGTCAACTCTAGTGCACTTTCACCAACTTGAAATGAATACACTTTTTTAAAAACAATTTTGATTAGTAGGCAATGAATAATTATGTAGATTTGGTCAAAAATTAACAAATAATTTTTAGAAAAATACGTTGCATCAACATTTTTCATAATAAATAATGCCGTTCATATGGGGTAACATCATGACGCGCAGTGCCGTATTACACTTACCGCCGGAAATACAACAAAAATGCATGATCATAAATTATACTATTTGAAAATAATAATATTTTAACCAATTACTTGCACGCGAGATTAGACCAACAACTTGTGTATTCAACGAAAATAATTATATTACATAGGTTACGGCGATAAGTTTAATAAAATACATCTGTCGGATTTTAATGACCGCATTGGAGCCGAGGTGCAAAACATGGGACATAATTACCTCAGGCTTACACTCACATTTATGACGAATCCGATTCTGTTTTCTATGAACATCTCAAATTACAATTTTCCAAAAGAAATTTTACATTCGAGAACATGTTCTATACTGGGAATTCAATTCATCATTTTATTAAAAGTCGTACAGAAAACCGTTCATCAATATTTTTTGACCAAATAAGCACTCTATTCGTCACAATATATCATTTTTTGCGTTCTTCAATGTAACCAATTACGTAATGTGATGCTCAGGCTAACAGTAAAATGTAAATGAATCGAAAAATTGGACACTTTCTACTCAATTTGTTACACCCAATCCATCACTGTATTTTTTTTATTCAATTTTGTTTCAGTTTAACTAAACTGTCTCCGGGGAAAACAAAAGAACTTACTATTTCTCTAAATGTTTTTTTACTTCGCGATGAAAGCGTTAGAAATGTTGATCCAAAGTAACCGTGGAAAATATTCCAGAATATTTAAAATTACACATTTTGACAAACTGTTTACTGATCATTAATGCAGATTCTTCTAGAAACAAATTCAAAGCGCCCAGTCAACACACTGCCTCACGCCATCGCGTGCAATATACGTTGCTTACTTATAGGGAATTCGAACGCGCGCTGCACTAGTACTGTTGGGCCTTAACATTCGAACGAACTAGTATATGGTACTGCGCATGCCCATGCTTACATTATAGAAACAAGCGTCACAACGTTTAACAATTATAAGCAAAATTACAGCATTTTCAATCCAGTGGGGTTTAAAAATGAATATTCGTTCTCGAGAACATAAAATAAAATGACTAGATTTCTCAAGAGTTTTCTCAGATAATTGTTGTATTTTTTGAACGTAAACTATGATTAAATAGTTCCAATCAACTTGAATGTCTTATTAAATATGGCGGAGTTTCGGTATGATTCTGCTGACCCTGATTACATGACATCGACGAGTCAGAGGTTCTCGATTTCCCTGTACCACATGTCGTGACTAATACAATGTAAATATACATTCGTTTGCTGTAATTGCTCGATTTACGTAAACTGTAGACAAACGGAAAAAGCACACAGTTTCGTGAATTGCCGGGAAACCCAATCTTACGTATTAAGCAACGTGTATCACAACATCCGAAGAATATGTTATTTGCGAGTGTCCATTGTCGTAAAAGCTCGACCCTTTTGTGGCACTTTTTAAATCCGCCAATCAGCACGCATCAGAGAACCAATCAATCTACTTGTAAAAGCAGAGTATCCGTGCTCTCGTTCTAAAACAACTGCTGATTGGAGTACTCGGGCAAAGATGTATTGCGATACTGAACCATGATGCAAATGGTATATTACCCCTAAAATCGGAAATTCGTTTAAATTTGTCTATTTTCACTACATTTGTACTCAAACGAAAGACACAAATTCATAGACCATATCGCAATTTCAAATGTTAGTGCATTGTGGGATATTGATGTCAGGTAGCATGAGTACGCGCGCTTTGGCATGGATTTGTGTTTGATCTCCGTGACGGTTCGATTCGGTCGAAACTATCCCACAATTCACTAGTCTATATCAAAGTTAGACAGATTTTATCAGTAACATCCGTACTAATTTCAAAAAATCATTCGGAGACAATGTCTATTATGTTAATAATATTCATAAAATTTTGATTGTACATGAAAGTAGAATCATTAATTTGGCGGGGATTCCATTGTTACTTGTTGTTATATTTATATACCCTATATATAAAATATGTTTTTGAAATGCAGTCCCTCACCCCCTTGGCTATTTTCGCAGATTTTTCGTCGCCGGAGCGATTCACGTCCCAAATTTTGGTTCTCTTGGTGTCTCTAATAAATACTCTATCTAACCGCTGGACTGAATTAGCTAAATTATGAAAAATTCATAGAAGATTGGGCGAAAATCGGTCGTTTTTGGCCTCAACGTTTTTTTGCTCGGAAACGCAAGGGCGATAAGACTCGATTTTCAAGATTTTCGCTCGGATCGGACGGTTTCTATT